AAGTTCTCGACAGGGGATTCAGACATCCTTTCATGTTGTGAGATGAAAGACGAACCTGTATTCAAGCCACGGCAAGGAAATCCAGCCTCCTTTCAAGTTAGGGCTTCTCGCTGTTTATTCCACTTGAGGTAGCAAACTCGGGGTCCCTCCCACATACCTATTGCTGAGAGAAGCCTCCTCTTGAGATGCTTCTGGAAAGTTGGCATACGTCTTGAGCCTCATCCAGGTAATCAGGTCTCATCTCGAGACAATTTGTGGTACACGGAGCATTTCCTGAGTTGCTGGGCTGATGTTGGTGTTCTTCTAGACTTGGGACAGTGTCCTCGGCGAATCTCTGGAGTTGCCTGAAGGAAGTCAAGCCTCAGCTCGTGTTTAATGGGGAACGGCATATGGCTCTGCAGTCAATGCAGGGGAATCTGGCCTCATCTCGAGTTGATTTGGGGCACATGGTGCTGCTTTGGGTTGCTGGTATGGCGTCAGGGTCCGTCTAGACTTGTGACAGTGTTCTTGCAGACTGTCTCGAGATCCATTAAGCAATTCGAAGCTGCTTACATGTTTGATGGGGATCACGGAATTGCTCTGCATGGAATGCAGGGGAATCGGGCCTCATCTCGCATCTAGGTGGATGTCACATGTGTTTTCTCGAGTTGCGGCAGGGACCTGGGGTATGTTCTCGAGTTACGGCGGGGATGGCACTTCAAAAAACGTGTTTAATCAGTGACATCAAGACTCCTGTCTAGTAACAAGTGACACCTCAGGAATCTCTTTGAGGCTTAGCAGGGCAAAAGGGAAACTTCTCGAAGTGATGCAGGGTACACAAGGACCCTGTCCAGTAGCCACAGGGATGTTGGGATTCCTAACATTGTTCAAGAGGAGTCATGCCTCGTCACCCTTTGAAGCAGTGATCTCCGAGTGCCTCTCGATGTGTCAAAGGGATGTGAGGCATTCCGTCAAAATGAGGCAGGGACCTAGATCTTTCTCTAACGTCTCGACAGGGGATTCAGACATCCCTTCATGTTGTGACATGAAAGACGAGCCTGTATTCACGCCACTGCAAGGAAATCCGGCCTCCTTTCAGGTTAGGGCTTCTCGCTGTATATTCCATTTGACGCAGCAAACTCGGGGTCCCTCCCACATACCTATTGTTGAGAGAAGCCCCCTCCTGAGGTGCTTCTGGAAAGTTGGCATACGTCTTGGGCCTAAGCCAGGGAATCAGCTCTCATCTCCATACGATGTGGGGTACATGCAGCATTCCTCGAGTTGCTCTGCTGAAGTTGGTGTTCTTCTAGACTTCGGACAGTGTCCTTAGGGAAACTCTGGAATTGCATGAAGGAAGTCGTGCCACTGGTCGTGTTTAATGTGGAACGGGGGATGGCTCTGGAGTCAATGCAGGGGAATCTGGCCTCATCTCGAGTTGATTTGGGGCACATGGAGCTGCTTTGCGTTGCTGGTGTGACCTCAGGGTCCGTCTAGACTTGTGACAGTGTTCTTGGGGACTGTCTTGAGATCCATTAACCAAGTCGAAGCTCCTTACATGTTTGATGGAGATCTCGGAATGGCTCTGCATGCAATGCAGATGAATCGGGCCTCATCTCGCCTCTAGGGGGAAGTCACATGGTTTTTCTCGATTTTCAGGGGCGACCTGGGGTATGTTCTCGAGTTACGGCGGGGATGGCCCTTCAAAACACGTGTTTAATCAGTGACATCAGGACTCCTGTCTACTAACGAGGGACACCTCAGGAATCTCTTTGAGGCTTGGCAGGGCAAGAAGGGACGCTTCTCGAGGTGAGGCAGGGCACCCAAGGGCCCTTTCCAGGAGCCACAGGGATTTGGGATTCCTAAAATTGTTCAAGAGGAGTCAGGCATCGTGACCTTTTGAAGCAGTGAACTCCGCCTGCCTCTCGAGGTATCAAACGGATATGAGGCATTCCGGCAAAATGAGGCAGGGACCTAAAACTTTCTCTAAGGTCTCGAAAGGGGATTCAGACATCCCTTCATGTTGTGAGATGAAAGACGAGCCTGTATTCAAGCCACTGCAAGGAAATACGGCCTCCTTTCAAGTTAGGGCTTCTCGCTGTATATTCCACTTGAGGCAGCAAACTCGGGGTCCCTCCCTCATACGTACTGCTGAGGAAGCCTCCTCTTTCGGTGGTTCTGGAAAGTTGGCATAAGTGTTGAGCCTAAGCCAGGGAATCAGCTCTCATTTCGAGACGATTTGGGGTACACGGAGCATTCCTCGAGTTGCTGTGCTGAAGATGGTGTTCTTCTAGACTTGGGACAGTGTCCTTGGGGAATCTCTGGAATTGTGTGAAGGAAGTCGAGCCACTGGTCGTGTTTAATGCGGAGCGGGGGATGGCTCTGGAGTCAATGCAGGGGAATCTGGCCTCATCTCTAGTTGATTTGGGTCACATGGAGCTGCTTTGCGTTGCTGAGGTGACCTCAGTGTCCGTCTAGACTTTTGACAGTGTTCTTGGGGTCTGTCTTGAGATCCATTAACCAAGTCGAAGCTCCTTACATGTTTGATGCAGATCACAGAATGGCTCTGCATGCAATGCAGGGGAATCGGGCCTCATCTCGCCTCTAGGGGGAAGTCACATGGTTTTTCTCGATTTTCGGCGCGACCTGGGGTTGTTCTCGAGTTTCGGCGGAGATGGCCCTTCAAAACACGTCTTTATATAGTGATGTCAGGACTCCTGTCTAGTAACGAGGGACACTTCAGGAATCTCTTTGAGGCTTGGAAGGGTAAAAGGAATGCTTCTCGAGGTGAGACAGGGCACCCAAGGACCCTTCCAGTAGTCACTGGGATTTTGGGGTTCCTAACAATGTTCAAGAGGAGTCAGGCATCGTTACCTTTTGAAGCAGTGACCTCTGCGTGCCTCTCAAGGTATCAAATGGAATGAGGCATTCCGTCAAAATGAGGCAGGGACCTAGATCTTTCTCTAAGGTGTCGACAGGGCATTCAGACATCCCTTCATGATGTGAGATGAAAGACGAGCCTGTATTCAAGAGACTGCAAGGAAATCCGTCCTCCTATCAAGTTAGGGCTTCTCGCTGTATATTCCACTTGAGGCAGCAAACTCGGGGTCCCTCGCACATACCAATCGCTGAGAGAAGCCTCCTCTTTCGGTGTTTCTGGAAAGTTGGCATATGTCTTGAGCCTAAGCCAGGGAATCAGCTCTCATCTCGAGACGATTAGCAGTACAAGGAGCATTCCTCGAGTTGCTATGCAGAAGTTGGTGTTCTTCTAGATTTGGGACAGTGTTTTCAGAGAATCTCTGGAGTTGCCTGAAGGAAGTCAAACCACTGGTCATGTTTAATATGGAATGGGGGATGGCTCTGGAGTCAATGCAGGGGAATCTGGCTAAGCTCGAGTTGATTTGGGGCACATGGAGCTGCTTTGCGTGGCTGGTGTGACCTCAGGGTCCGTCTAGACTTGTGACAGTGTTCTTGTGGACTGTCTTGAGATCCATTAACCAAGTCGAAGCTCCTTACAGGTTTGATGCAGATCACAGAATGGCTCTGCATGCAATGCAGGGGAATCGGGCCTCATCTCGCCTCTAGGGGGAAGTCACATGGTTTTTCTCGATTTTCGGCGGTGACCTGGGGTTGTTCTCGAGTTACGGCGGGGATGGCCCTTCAAAACACGTGTTTATATAGTGATGTCAGGACTCCTGTCTAGTAACGAGGGACACTTCAGGAATCTCTTTGAGGCTTGGAAGGGTAAAAGGAACGCTTCTCGAGGTGAGACAGGGCACCCAAGGACCCTTTCCAGTAGTCACAGGGATTTTGGGATTCCTAAGAATGTTCAAGAGGAGTCAGGCATCGTCACCTTTTGAAGCAGTGAACTCCGCGTGCCTCTCGATGTATCAAATGGATATGAGGCATTCCGTCAAAATGAGGCAGGGACCTAGATCTTTCTCTAAGGTGTCGACAGGGCATTCAGACTTCCCTTCATGTTGTGAGATGAAAGACGAGCCTGTATTCAAGCCACTGCAAGGAAATCCGTCCTCCTATCAAGTTAGGGCTTCTCGCTATATACTCCACTTGAGGCAGCAAACTCGGGGTCCCTCCCACATACCCTTCCCTGAGAGAAGCCTTCTCTTTCGGTATTTCTGGAAAGGTGGCATTCGTCTTGAGCCTAAGCCAGTAAATCAGCTCTCATCTTGAGACGATTAGCGGTACAAGGAGCATTCCTCGAGTTGATGTGCAGAAGTTGGTGTTCTTCTAGACTTGGGACAGGGTTTTCAGGGAATCTCTGGAGTTGCCTGAAGGAAGTCAAACCACTGGTCTTGTTTAATGGGGAAAGGGGGATGGCTCTGGAATCAATGCAGGATAATCGGGCCTCATCTCGAGTTGATTTGCTGCCCATGAAGCTGCTTTGCTTTGCTCGGGTGACGTCAGGGTCCGTCTAGACTTGTGACAGTGTTCTTGGGGACTGTCTCGAGATCCATTAATCTAGTCGAAGGTCCTTATATGTTTGATGATGATCACGGAATTGCTCTGCATGCAATGCAGGGGAATCGGGCCTCATCTCGCATCTAGGGGGAAGTCTCCTGGTTTTTCTCGAGTTGAGGCGGGGACCTGGTGTATGTTCTCGAGTTACGGCGGGAATGGCACTTCAAAACATGTGTTTATTCAGTGACGTCAGGACTCCTGTCTAGTAACGAGGGACACCTTCGGAATCTCTTCGAGGCTTGGCATTGCAAAAGGGGCGCTTCTCGAGGTGAGGCAGGGCACCCAATGACCCGTTCCAGGAGCCACAGGGATTTTGGGATTCCTAACATTGTTCTAGAGGAGTCAGGCATCCTGACCTTTTGAAGCAGTGAACTCCGCCTGCCTCTCGAGGTGCCAAATGGATGAGAGGCATTCTGTCAAAATGAGCCAGGGACCTAGAGCATTCTCTAAGGTCTCGACAGGGGATTCAGACATCCTTTCAGGTTGTGAGATGAAAGACGAGCCACTATTCAAGCCACTGCAAGGAAATCCGGCCTCCTTTCAAGTTAGGGCTTCTCGCTGTTTATTCCACTTGAGGCACCAAGCTCGGGGACCTCCCACATACCAATTGCGGAGGAAGCCTCCTCTTTCGGTGTTTCTTGAAAGTTGGCATAAGTGTTGAGTCTAAGCCAGGGAATCAGCTCTCATCTCGAGACGATTTGGGGTACACGGAACATTCCTCGAGTTGCTGAACTGAAGTTGGTGTTCTTCTAGACTTGGGACAGTGTTCTCGGGAATCTCTGGAGTTGCCTGAAGGAAGTCGAGCCAATGGTCGTGTTTAATGGGAAATGGGGAATGGCTGTGGAGTCAATGCAGATGAATCGATCCTCATCTCGAGTTGACTTGGGGCACGTGGAGCTGCTTTGCATTGCTGGGGTGACCTCAGGTCCGTCTAGACTTGTGACAGTGTTCTTGGGGACTGTCTTGAGATCCATTAACCAAGTCGAAGCTCCTTACAGGTTTGATGCAGATCACAGAATGGCTCTGCATGCAATGCAGGGGAATCGGGCCTCATCTCGCATCTAGGGGGAAGTCTCACGGTTTTTCTCAAGTTGCGGTTGGGACCTGGGGTATGTTCTCGAGTTACGGCAGGGATGGCCCTTCAAAACACGGGGTGATTCAGTGAGGCCAGGACTCCGGTCTAGTAACGAGGGACACCTCAGGAATCTTTTTGCAGCTTGGCAGGGTAAAAGGGACGCTTCTCGAGGTGAGGCATGGCACCCAAGGACCCTTTCCAGTAGCCACAAGGATTTTGGGATTCCTATCAATGTTAAAGAAGAGTCAGGCATCGTCACATTTTGAAGCAGTGAACTCCGCGTGCCTCGCGAGGTGTCAAATGGATGTTAGGCATTCCGTCAAAATGAGGCAGGGACCTAGAACTTTCTCTAAGTTCTCGACAGGGGATTCAGACATCCCTTCATGTTGTGAGATGAAAGACGAACCTGTATTCAAGCCACTGCAAGGAAATCCAGCCTCCTTTCAAGTTAGGACTTCTTGCTGTTTATTCCACTTGAGTTAGCAAACTCGGGGTCCCTCCCACATACCTATTGCTGAGAGAAGCCTCCTCTTGAGGTGCTTCTGGAAAGTTGGCATACGTCTTGAACCTCAGCCAGGTAATCAGGTCTCATCTCGAGACAATTTGTGGTACACAGAGCATTTCCTGAGTTGCTGGGCTGATGTTGGTGTTCTTCTAGACTTGGGACAGTGTCCTCGGGGAATCTCTAGAGTTGCCTGAAGGAAGTCAAGCCTCAGCTCGTGTTTAATGGGGAACGGCATATGGCTCTGCAGTCAATGCAGGGGAATCTGGCTTCATCTCGAGTTGATTTAGTGCACATGGAGCTGCTTTGCGTTGCTGGTATGGCGTCAGGGTCCGTCTAGACTTGTGACAGTGTTCTTGCAGACTGTCTCGAGATCCATTAAGCAATTCGAAGCTGCTTACATGTTTGATGGGGATCACGGAATTGCTCTGCATGGAATGCAGGGGAATCGGGCCTCATCTCGCATCTATGGGGATGTCACATGTGTTTTCTCGAGTTGCGTTGGGGACCTGGGGTATGTTCTCGAGTTACGGCGGGGATGGCACTTCAAAAAACGTGTTTAATCAGTGACATCAGGACTCCTGTCTAGTAACAAGTGACACCTCAGGAATCTCTTTGAGGCTTGGCAGGGCAAAAGGGACGCTTCTCAAGGTGATGCAGGGTACACAAGAACCCTGTCCACTAGCCACAGGGATTTTGGGATTCCTAACATTGTTCAAGAGGAGTCATGCCTCGTCACCCTTTGAAGCAGTGATCTCCGAGTGCCTCTCGATGTGTCAAAGGGATGTGAGGCATTCCGTCAAAATGAGGCAGGGACCTAGATCTTTCTCTAACGTCTCGACAGGGGATTCAGACATCCCTTCATGTTCTGACATGAAAGACGAGCCTGTATTCACGCCACTGCAAGGAAATCCGGCCTCCTTTCAAGTTAGGGCTTCTCGCTGTATATTCCATTTGACGCAGCAAACTCGGGGTCCCTCCCACATACCTATTGTTGAGAGAAGCCTCCTCCTGAGGTGCTTCTGGAAAGTTGGCATACGTCTTGGGCCTAGCCAGGGAATCAGCTCTCATCTTCATATGATGTGGGGTACATGCAGCATTCCTCGAGTTGCTCTGCTGAAGTTGGTGTTCTTCTAGACTTCGGACAGTGTCCTTAGGGAAACTCTGGAATTGCGTGAAGGAAGTCGTGCCACTGGTCGCGTTTAAGGTGGAACGGGGGATGGCTCTGGAGTCAATGCAGGAGAATCTGGCCTCATCTCGAGTTGATTTGGGGCACATGGAGCTGCTTTGCGTTGCTGGGGTGACCTCAGGGTCCGTCTAGACTTGTGACAGTGTTCTTGGGGACTGTCTTGAGATCCATTAACCAAGTCGAAGCTCCTTACCTGTTTGATGGAGATCTCGGAATGGCTCTGCATGCAATGCAGGGGAATCGGGCCTCATCTCGCCTCTAGGGGGAAGTCACATGGTTTTTCTCGATTTTCGGCGTTGACCTGGGGTATGTTCTCGAGTTACAGCGGGGATGGCCCTTCAAAACACGTGTTTAATCAGTGACATCAGGACTCCTGTCTGCTAACGAGGGACACCTCAGGAATCTCTTTGAGGCTTGGCAGGGCAAGAAGGGATGCTTCTCGAGTTGAGGCAGGGCACCCAAGGGCCCTTTCCAGGAGCCACAGGGATTTGGGATTCCTAACATTGTTCAAGAGGAGTCAGGCATCGTGACCTTTTGAAGCACTGAACTCCGGCTGCCTCTCGAGGTGCCAAATGGATGTGAGGCATTCCGTCAAAATGAGGCAGGGACCTAAAACTTTCTCTAAGGTCTCGACAGGGGATTCAGACATCCCTTCATGTTGTGAAATGAAAGACTAGCCTGTATTCAAGCCACTGCAAGGAAATCCGGCCTCCTTTCAAGTTAGGGCTTCTCGCTGTATATTCCACTTGAGGCAGCAAACTCGGGGTCCCTCCTTTATACCTATTGCTGAGGAAGCCTCCTCTTTCGTTGCTTCTGGAAAGTTGGCATAAGTGTTGAGCCTAAGCCAGGGAATCAGCTCTCATCTCGAGACGATTTGGGGTACACGGAGCATTCCTCGAGTTGCTGTGCTGAAGTTGGTGTTCTTCTAGACTTGGGACAGTGTCCTTGGGGAATCTCTGGAGTTGCCTGAAGGAAGTCGAGCCAATGGTCGTGTTTAATGGGGAATGGGGGATGGCTCTGGAGTCAATGCAGGGGAATCTGGCCTCATCTCGAGTTGATTTGGGGCACATGGAGCTGCTTTGCGTTGCTGGGGTGACCTCAGGGTCCATCTAGACTTGTGACAGTGTTCTTGGGGACTGTCTTGAGATCCATTAACCAAGTCGAAGCTCCTTACCTGTTTGATGGAGATCTCGGAATGGCTCTGCATGCAATGCAGGGGAATCGGGCCTCATCTCGCCTCTAGGGGGAAGTCACATGGTTTTTCTCGATTTTCGGCGGCGACCTGGGGTTGTTCTCGAGTTACGGCGGGGATGGCCCTTCAAAACACGTGTTTATATAATGATGTCAGGACTCCTGTCTAGTAACAAGGGACACGTCAGGAATCTCTTTGAGGCTTGGAAGGGTAAAAGGAACGCTTCTCGAGGTGAGACAGGGCACCCAAGGACCCTTTCCAGTAGTCACAGGGATTTTGGGATTCCTAACAATGTTCAAGAGTAGTCAGGCATCGTTACCTTTTGAAGCAGTGGACTCCGCGTGCCTCTCGAGGTATCAAATGGATTTGAGGCATTCCGTCAAAATGAGGCAGGGACCTAGATCTTTCTCTAAGGTGTCGACAGGGCATTCAGACATCCCTTCATGTTGTGAGATGAAAGACGAGCCTGTATTCAAGCCACTGCAAGGAAATCAGTCCTCCTATCAAGTTAGGGCTTCTCGCTGTATATTCCACTTGAGGCAGCAAACTCGGGGTCCCTCCCACATACCTATCACTGAGAGAAGCCTCCTCTTTCGGTGTTTCTGGAAAGTTGGCATACGTCTTGAGCCTAAGCCAGGGAATCAGCTCTCATCTCGAGATGATTAGCAGTACAAGGAGCATTCCTCGAGTTGCTGTGCAGAAGTTGGTGTTCTTCTAGACTTGGGACAGTGTTTTCAGGGAATCTCTGGAGTTGCCTGAAGGAAGTCAAACCACTGGTCGTGTTTAATGGGGAAAGGGGGATGGCTCTGGAATCAATGCAGGGAAATCGGGCCTCATCTCGATTTGATTTGCTGCACATGAAGCTGCTTTGCTTTGCTCGGGTGACCTCAGGGTCCGTCTAGACTTGTGACAGCGTTCTTGGGGACTGTCTCGAGATCCATTAATCTAGTCGAAGGTCCTTACATGTTTGATGATGATCACGGAATTGCTCTGCATGCAATGCAGGGGAATCGGGCCTCATCTCGCATCTAGGGGGAAGTCTCCTGGTTTTTCTCGAGTTGAGGCGGGGACCTGGTGTATGTTCTCGAGTTACGGCAGGGATGGCAATTCAAAACATGTGTTTATTCAGTGACGTCAGGACTCCTGTCTAGTAACGAGGGACACCTCCGGAATCTCTTCGAGGCTTGGCATTGCAAAAGGGACGCTTCTCGAGGTGAGGCAGGGCACCCAAGGACCCGTTACAGGAGCCACAGGGATTTTGGGATTCCTAACATTGTTCAAGAGGAGTCAGGCATCGTGAACTTTTGAAGCAGTGAACTCCTCCTTCCTCTCGCAGTGCCAAATGGATGAGAGGCATTCTGTCAAATGAGCCAGGGATCTAGCGCATTCTCTAAGGTCTTGACAGGGTATTCAGACATCCTTTCATGTTGTGAGATGAAAGACGAGCCACTATTCAAGCCACTGCAAGGAAATCCGGCCTCCTTTCAAGTTCGGGCTTCTCGCTGTATATTCCACTTGAGGCACCAAACTCGGGAACCTCCCACATACCTATTGCTGAGGAAGCCTCCTCTTTCAGTGTTTCTCGAAACTTGGCATAAGTGTTGAGTCTAAGCCAGGGAATCAGCTCTCATCTCGAGACGATTTGGGGTACACGGAGCATTCCTCGAGTTGCTGTACTGAAGTTGGTGTTCTTCTAGATTTGGGACAGTGTTCTCAGGGAATCTCTGGAGTTGCCTGAAGGAAGTCGAGCCAATGGTCGTGTTTAATGGGAAATGGGGAATGGCTCTGGAGTCAATGCAGATGAATCAATCCTCATCTCGAGTTGACTTGGGGCACGTGGAGCTGCTTTGCATTGCTGGGGTGACCTCAGGGTCCGTCTAGACTTGTGACAGCATTCTTGGGGACTGTCTCGAGATCCATTAAGCAAGTCGAAGCTCCTGACTTGTTTGATGGGGATCATGGAATTGATCTGCATGCACTGCAGGTGAATCGGGCCTCATCTCGCATCTAGGGGGAAGTCTCAGGGTTTTTCTCGAGTTGCAGTGGGGACCTGGGATATCTTCTCGAGTTAAGGCAGGGATGGCCCTTCAAAACACGGGGTGATTCAGTGAAGTCAGGACTCTGGTCTAGTAACGAGGGACACCTCAGGAATCTTTTTGCGGCTTGGCAGGGTAAAAGGGACGCTTCTCGAGGTGAGGCCTGGCACCCAAGGACCCTTTCCAGTAGCCACCGGGATTTTGGGATTCCTATCAATGTTCAAGAAGAGTCAGGCATCGTCACCTTTTGAAGCAGTGAACTCCGCGTGCCTCGCGAGGTGTCAAATGGATGTTAGGCATTCCGTCAAAATGAGGCAGGGACCTAGAACTTTCTCTAAGTTCTCGACAGGGGATTCAGAAATCCCTTCATGTTGTGAGATGAAAGACGAACCTGTATTCAAGCCACTGCAAGGAAATCCAGCCTCCTTTCAAGTTAGGGCTTCTCGCTGTTTATTCCACTTGAGGTAGGAAGCTCGGGGTCCCGCCAACATACCTATTGCTGAGAGAAGCCTCCTCTTGAGGTGATTCTGGAAAGTTGGCATACGTCTTGAGCCTCAGCCAGGTAATCAGGTCTCATCTCAAGACGATTTGTGGTACACGGAGCATTTCCTGAGTTGTTGGGCTGATGTTGGTGTTCTTCTAGACTTGGGACAGTGTCCTCGGCGAATCTCTGGAGTTGCCTGAAGGAAGTCAATCCTCAGCTCGTGTTTAATGGGGAACAGCATATGACTCTGCAGTCAATGCAGGGGAATCTGGCCTCATCTCGAGTTGATTTGGTGCACATGGAGCTGCTTTGCGTTGCTGGAATGGCGTCAGGGTCCGTCTAGACTTGTGACAGTGTTCTTGAAGACTGTCTCGAGATCCATTAAGCAATTCGAAGCTGCTTACATCTTTGATGGGGATCACGGAATTGCTCTGCATGGAATGCAGGGGAATCGGGCCTAATCTCGCATCTAGGTGGATATCACATGTGTTTTCTCGAGTTGCGGTGGGGACCTGGGGTATGTTCTCGAGTTACGGTGGGGATGGCACTTCAAAAAACGTGTTTAATCAGTGACATCAGGACTCCTGTCTAGTAACAAGTGTCACCTCAGGAATCTCTTTGAGGCTTGGCAGGGCAAAAGGGATGCTTCTCGAGGTGATGCAGTGTACACAAGGACCCTGTACAGTAGCCACATGGATTTTGGGATTCCTAACATTGTTCAAGAGGAGTCATGCCTCGTCATCCTTTGAAGCAGTCATCTCCGAGTGCCTCTCGATGTGTCAAAGGGATGTGAGGCATTCCGTCAAAATGAGGCAGGGACCTAGATCTTTCTCTAACGTCTCGACAGGAGATTCAGACATCCCTTCATGTTGTGACATGAAAGACGAGCCTGTATTCACGCCACTGCAAGGAAATCCGGCCTCCTTTCAAGTTGGGGTTCTCGCTGTATATTCCATTTGAGGCAGAAAACTCGGGGTCCCTCCCACATACCTATTGTTGAGAGAAGCCTCCTCCTGAGGTGCTTCTGGAAAGTTGGCATACGTCTTGGGCCTAAGCCAGGGAATCAGCTCTCATCTCCATACGATGTGGGGTACATGCAGCATTCCTCGAGTTGCTCTGCTGAAGTTGGTGTTCTTCTAGACTTCGGACAGTGTCCTTAGGGAAACTCTGGAATTGCGTGAAGGAAGTCGTGCCACTGGTCGTGTTTAATGTGGAACGGGGGATGGCTCTGGAGTCAATGCAGGGGAATCTGGCCTCATCTCGAGTTGATTTGGGGCACATGGAGCTGCTTTGCGTTGCTGGTGTGACCTCAGGGTCCGTCTAGACTTGTGACAGTGTTCTTGGGGACTGTCTTGAGATCCATTAACCAAGTCGAAGCTCCTTACATGTTTGATGGAGATCTCGGAATGGCTCTGCATGCAATGCAGATGAATCGGGCCTCATCTCGCCTCTAGGGGGAAGTCACATGGTTTTTCTCGATTTTCAGCGGCGACCTGGGGTATTTTCTCGAGTTACGGCGGGGATGGCCCTTCAAAACACGTGTTTAATCAGTGATATCAGGACTCCTGTCTACTAACGAGGGACACCTCAGGAATCTCTTTGAGGCTTGGCAGGGCAAGAAGGGACGCTTCTCGAGGTGAGGCAGGGCACCCAAGGGCCCTTTCCAGGAGCCACAGGGATTTGGGATTCCTAACATTTTTCAAGAGGAGTCAGGCATCGTGACCTTTTGAGGCAGTGAACTCCGCCTGGATCTCGAGGTGCCAAATGGATGTGAGGTATTCTGGCAAAATGAGGCAGGGACCTAAAACTTTCTCTAAGGTCTCGAAAGGGGATTCAGACATCCCTTCATGTTGTGAGATGAAAGACGAGCCTGTATTCAAGCCACTGCAAGGAAATCCGGCCTCCTTTCAAGTTAGGGCTTCTCGCTGTATATTCCACTTGAGGCAGCAAACTCGGGGTCCCTCCCACTTACCTGTTGCTGAGGAAGCCTCCTCTTTCGGTGGTTCTGGAAAGTTGGCATAAGTGTTGAGCCTAAGCCAGGGAATCAGCTCTCATCTCGAGACGATTTGGGGTACACGGAGCATTCCTCGAGTTGCTCTGCAGAAGTTGGTGTTCTTCTAGACTTGGGACAGTGTTTTCAGGGAATCTCTGGAGTTGCCTGAAGGAAGTCAAACCACTGGTCGTGTTTAATGGGGAAAGGGGGATGGCTCTGGAATCAATGCAGGGGAATCGGGCCTCATCTCGAGTTGATTTGCTGCACATGAAGCTGCTTTGCTTTGCTGGGGTGACCTCAGGATCCGTCTAGACTTGTGACAGTTTTCTTGGTGACTGTCTCGAGATCCATTAATCTAGTCGAAGGTCCTTACATGTTTGATGATGATCACGGAATTGCTCTGCATGCAATTCAGGGGAATCGGGCCTCATCTCGCATCTAGGGGGAAGTCTCCTGGTTTCTCTCGAGTTGAGGCGGGGACCTGGTGTATGTTCTCGAATTACAGCGGGGATGGCCCTTCAAAACATGTGTTGATTCAGTGACGTCAGGACTCCTGTCTAGTAACGAGGGACACCTCCGGAATCTCTTCGAGGCTTGGCATTGCAAAAGGGACGCTTCTCGAGGTGAGGCAGGGCACCGAAGGACCCGTTCCAGGAGCCACAGGGATTTTGGGATTCCTAACATTGTTCAAGAGGAGTCAGGCATCGTGACCTTTTGAAGCAGTGAACTCCGCCTGCCTCTCGAGGTGCCAAATGGATGGGAGGCATTCTGTCAAAATGAGCCAGGGACCTAGAGCATTCTCTCAGGTCTCGACAGGGGATTCAGACATCCTTTCATGTTGTGAGATGAAAGACGAGCCACTATTCAAGCCACTGCAAGGAAATCCGGCCTCCTTTCAAGTTAGGGCTTCTCGCTGTATATTCCACTTGAGGCACCAAACTCGGGAACCTCCCACATACCTATTGCTGAGGAAGCCTCCTCTTTCGGTGTTTCTGGAAAGTTGGCATAAGTGTTGAGTCTAAGCCAGGGAATCAGCTCTCATCTCGAGACGATTTGGGGTACACGGAGCATTCCTCGAGTTGCTCTACTGAAGTTGGTGTTCTTCTAGATTTGGGACAGTGTTCTCAGGGAATCTCTGGAGTTGCCTGAAGGAAGTCGAGCCAATGGTCGTGTTTAATGGGAAATGGGGAATGGCTCTGGAGTCAATGCAGATGAATCAATCCTCATCTCGAGTTGACTTGGGGCACGTGGAGCTGCTTTGCATTGCTGGGGTGACCTCAGGGTCCGTCTAGACTTGTGACAGCATTCTTGGGGACTGTCTCGAGATCCATTAAGCAAGTCGAAGCTCCTGACTTGTTTGATGGGGATCATGGAATTGATCTGCCTGCACTGCAGGTGAATCGGGCCTCATCTCGCATCTAGGGGGAAGTCTCAGGGTTTTTCTCGAGTTGCGGTGGGGACCTGGGATATCTTCTCGAGTTAAGGCAGGGATGGCCCTTCAAAACACGGGGTGATTCAGTGAAGCCAGGACTCTGGTCTAGTAACGAGGGACACCTCAGGAATCTTTTTGCGGCTTGGCAGGGTAAAAGGGACGCTTCTCGAGGTGAGGCCTGGCACCCAAGGACCCTTTCCAGTAGCCACCGGGATTTTGGGATTCCTATCAATGTTCAAGAAGAGTCAGGCATCGTCACCTTTTGAAGCAGTGAACTCCGCGTGCCTCGCGAGGTGTCAAATGGATGTTAGGCATTCCGTCAAAATGAGGCAGGGACCTAGAACTTTCTCTAAGTTCTCGACAGGGGATTCAGAAATCCCTTCATGTTGTGAGATGAAAGACGAACCTGTATTCAAGCCACTGCAAGGAAATCCAGCCTCCTTTCAAGTTAGGGCTTCTCGCTGTTTATTCCACTTGAGGTAGCAAACTCGGGGTCCCTCCCACATACCTATTGCTGAGAGAAGCCTCCTCTTGAGGTGATTCTGGAAAGTTGGCATACGTGTTGAGCCTCAGCCAGGTAATCAGGTCTCATCTCAAGACGATTTGTGGTACACGGAGCATTTCCTGAGTTGCTGGGCTGATGTTGGTGTTCTTCTAGACTTGGGACAGTGTCCTCGGCGAATCTCTGGAGTTGCCTGAAGGAAGTCAATCCTCAGCTCGTGTTTAATGGGGAACGGCATATGGCTCTGCAGTCAATGCAGGGGAATCTGGCCTCATCTCGAGTTGATTTGGTGCACATGGAGCTGCTTTGCGTTGCTGGAATGGCATCAGGGTCCGTCTAGACTTGTGACAGTGTTCTTGAAGACTGTCTCGAGATCCATTAAGCAATTCGAAGCTGCTTACATGTTTGATGGGGATCACGGAATTGCTCTGCATGGAATACAGGGGAATCGGGCCTAATCTCGCATCTAGGTGGATATCACATGTGTTTTCACGAGTTGCGGTGGGGACCTGGGGTATGTTCTCGAGTTACGGTGGGGATGGCACTTCAAAAAACGTGTTTAATCAGTGACATCAGGACTCCTGTCTAGTAACAAGTGTCACCTCAGGAATCTCTTTGAGGCTTGGCAGGGCAAAAGGGATGCTTCTCGAGGTGATGCAGTGTACACAAGGACCCTGTACAGTAGCCACATGGATTTTGGGATTCCTAACATTGTTCAAGAGGAGTCATGCCTCGTCACCCTTTGAAGCAGTGATCTCCGAGTGCATCTCGATGTGTCAAAGGGATGTGAGGCATTCCGTCAAAATGAGGCAGGGACCTAGATATTTCTCTAACGTCTCGACAGGAGATTCAGACATCCCTTCATGTTGTGACATGAAAGACGAGCCTGTATTCACGCCACTGCAAGGAAATCCGGCCTCCTTTCAACTTGGGGTTCTCGCTGTATATTCCATTTGAGGCAGAAAACTCGGGGTCCCTCCCACATACCTATTGTTGAGAGAAGCCTCCTCCTGAGGTGCTTCTGGAAAGTTGGCATACGTCTTGGGCCTAAGCCAGGGAATCAGCTCTCATCTCCATACGATGTGGGATACATGTAGCATTCCTCGAGTTGCTCTGCTGAAGTTGGTGTTCTTCTAGACTTCGGACAGTGTCCTTAGGGAAACTCTGGAATTGCGTGAAGGAAGTCGTGCCTCTGGTCGTGTTTAATGTGGAACGGGGGATGGCTCTGGAGTCAATGCAGGGGAATCTGGCCTCATCTCGAGTTGATTTGGGGCACATGGAGCTGCTTTGCGTTGCTGGTGTGACCTCAGGGTCCGTCTAGACTTGTGACAGTGTTCTTGGGGACTGTCTTGAGATCCATTAACCAAGTCGAAGCTCCTTACATGTTTGATGGAGATCTCGGAATGGCTCTGCATGCAATGCAGATGAATCGGGCCTCATCTCGCCTCTAGGGGGAAGTCACATGGTTTTTCTCGATTTTCAGCGGCGACCTGGGGTATTTTCTCGAGTTACGGCGGGGATGGCCCTTCAAAACACGTGTTTAATCAGTGATATCAGGACTCCTGTCTACTAACGAGGGACACCTCAGGAATCTCTTTGAGGCTTGGCAGGGCAAGAAGGGACGCTTCTCGAGGTGAGGCAGGGCACCCAAGGGCCCTTTCCAGGAGCCACAGGGATTTGGGATTCCTAACATTTTTCAAGAGGAGTCAGGCATCGTGACCTTTTGAGGCAGTGAACTCCGCCTGGATCTCGAGGTGCCAAATGGATGTGAGGTATTCTGGCAAAATGAGGCAGGGACCTAAAACTTTCTCTAAGGTCTCGAAAGGGGATTCAGACATCCCTTCATGTTGTGAGATGAAAGACGAGCCTGTATTCAAGCCACTGCAAGGAAATCCGGCCTCCTTTCAAGTTAGGGCTTCTCGCTGTATATTCCACTTGAGGCAGCAAACTCGGGGTCCCTCCCACTTACCTGTTGCTGAGGAAGCCTCCTCTTTCGGTGGTTCTGGAAAGTTGGCATAAGTGTTGAGCCTAAGCCAGGGAATCAGCTCTCATCTCGAGACGATTTGGGGTACACGGAGCATTCCTCGAGTTGCTCTGCAGATGTTGGTGTTCTTCTAGACTTGGGATAGTGTTTTCTGGGAATCTCTGGAGTTGCCTGAAGGAAGTCAAACCACTGGTCGTGTTTAATGGGGAAAGGGGGATGGCTCTGGAATCAATGCAGGGCAATCGGGCCTCATCTCGAGTTGATTTGCTGCACATGAAGCTGCTTTGCTTTGCTGGGGTGACCTCAGGATCCATCTAGACTTGTGACAGTGTTCTTGGTGACTGTCTCGAGATCCATTAATCTAGTCGAAGGTCCTTACATGTTTGATGATGATCACAGAATTGCTCTGCATGCAATTCAGGGGAATCGGGCCTCATCTCGCATCTAGGGGGAAGTCTCCTGCTTTCTCTCGAGTTGAGGCGGGGACCTGGTGTATGTTCTTGAATTACAGCGGGGATGGCCCTTCAAAACATGTGTTGATTCAGTGACGTCAGGACTCCTGTCTAGTAACGAGGGACACCTCCGGAATCTCTTCGAGGCTTGGCATTGCAAAAGGGACGCTTCTCGAGGTGAGGCAGGGCACCGAAGGACCCGTTCCAGGAGCCACAGGGATTTTGGGATTCCTAACATTGTTCAAGAGGAGTCAGGCATCGTGACCTTTTGAAGCAGTGAACTCCGCCTGCCTCTCGAGGTGCCAAATGGATGGGAGGCATTCTGTCAAAATGAGCCAGGGACCTAGAGCATTCTCTCAGGTCTCGACAGGGATTCAGACATCCTTTCATGTTGAGAGATGAAAGACGAGCCACTATTCAAGCCACTGCAAGGAAATCCGGCCTCCATTCAAGTTCGGGCTTCTCGCTGTATATTCCACTTGAGGCACCAAACTCGGGAACCTCCCACTTACCTATTGCTGAGGAAGCCTCCTCTTTCGGTGTTTCTCAAAAGTTTGCATAAGTGTTGAGTCTAAGCCAGGGAATCAGCTCTCATCTCGAGACGATTTGGGGTACACGGAGCATTCCTCGAGTTGCTGTACTGAAGTTGGTGTTCTTCTAGATTTGGGACAGTGTTCTCAGGGAATCTCTGGAGTTGCCTGAAGGAAGTCGAGCCAATGGTCGTGTTTAATGGGAAATGGGGAATGGCTCTGGAGTCAATGCAGATGAATCAATCCTCATCTCGAGTTGACTTGGGGCACGTGGAGCTGCTTTGCATTGCTGGGGTGACCTCAGGGTCCGTCTAGACTTGTGACAGCATTCTTGGGGACTGTCTCGAGATCCATTAAGCAAGTCGAAGCTCCTGACTTGTTTGATGGGGATCATGGAATTGATCTGCATGCACTGCAGGTGAATCGGGCCTCATCTCGCATCTAGGGGGAAGTCTCAGGGTTTTTCTCGAGTTGCGGTGGGGACCTGGGATATCTTCTCGAGTTAAGGCAGGGATGGCCCTTCAAAACACGGGGTGATTCAGTGAAGTCAGGACTCTGGTCTAGTAACGAGGGACACCTCAGGAATCTTTTTGCGGCTTGGCAGGGTAAAAGGGACGCTTCTCGAGGTGAGGCCTGGCACCCAAGGACCCTTTCCAGTAGCCACCGGGATTTTGGGATTCCTATCAATGTTCAAGAAGAGTCAGGCATCGTCACCTTTTGAAGCAGTGAACTCCGCGTGCCTCGCGAGGTGTCAAATGGATGTTAGGCATTCTGTCAAAATGAGGCAGGGACCTAGAACTTTCTCTAAGTTCTCGACAGGGGATTCAGAAATCCCTTCATGTTGTGAGATGAAAGACGAACCTGTATTCAAGCCACTGCAAGGAAATCCAGCCTCCTTTCAAGTTAGGGCTTCTCGCTGTTTATTCCACTTGAGGTAGGAAGCTCGGGGTCCCGCCAACATACCTATTGCTGAGAGAAGCCTCCTCTTGAGGTGATTCTGGAAAGTTGGCATACGTCTTGAGCCTCAGCCAGGTAATCAGGTCTCATCTCAAGACGATTTGTGGTACACGGAGCATTTCCTGAGTTGTTGGGCTGATGTTGGTGTTCTTCTAGACTTGGGACAGTGTCCTCGGCGAATCTCTGGAGTTGCCTGAAGGAAGTCAATCCTCAGCTCGTGTTTAATGGGGAACAGCATATGACTCTGCAGTCAATGCAGGGGAATCTGGCCTCATCTCGAGTTGATTTGGTGCACATGGAGCTGCTTTGCGTTGCTGGAATGGCGTCAGGGTCCGTCTAGACTTGTGACAGTGTTCTTGAAGACTGTCTCGAGATCCATTAAGCAATTCGAAGCTGCTTACATCTTTGATGGGGATCACGGAATTGCTCTGCATGGAATGCAGGGGAATCGGGCCTAATCTCGCATCTAGGTGGATATCACATGTGTTTTCTCGAGTTGCGGTGGGGACCTGGGGTATGTTCTCGAGTTACGGTGGGGATGGCACTTCAAAAAACGTGTTTAATCAGTGACATCAGGACTCCTGTCTAGTAACAAGTGTCACCTCAGGAATCTCTTTGAGGCTTGGCAGGGCAAAAGGGATGCTTCTCGAGGTGATGCAGTGTACACAAGGACCCTGTACAGTAGCCACATGGATTTTGGGATTCCTAACATTGTTCAAGAGGAGTCATGCCTCGTCATCCTTTGAAGCAGTCATCTCCGAGTGCCTCTCGATGTGTCAAAGGGATGTGAGGCATTCCGTCAAAATGAGGCAGGGACCTAGATCTTTCTCTAACGTCTCGACAGGAGATTCAGACATCCCTTCATGTTGTGACATGAAAGACGAGCCTGTATTCACGCCACTGCAAGGAAATCCGACCTCCTTTCAAGTTGGGGTTCTCGCTGTATATTCCATTTGAGGCAGAAAACTCGGGGTCCCTCCCACATACCTATTGTTGAGAGAAGCCTCCTCCTGAGGTGCTTCTGGAAAGTTGGCATACGTCTTGGGCCTAAGCCAGGGAATCAGCTCTCATCTCCATACGATGTGGGGTACATGCAGCATTCCTCGAGTTGCTCTGCTGAAGTTGGTGTTCTTCTAGACTTCGGACAGTGTCCTTAGGGAAACTCTGGAATTGCGTGAAGGAAGTCGTGCCACTGGTCGTGTTTAATGTGGAACGGGGGATGGCTCTGGAGTCAATGCAGGGGAATCTGGCCTCATCTCGAGTTGATTTGGGGCACATGGAGCTGCTTTGCGTTGCTGGTGTGACCTCAGGGTCCGTCTAGACTTGTGACAGTGTTCTTGGGGACTGTCTTGAGATCCATTAACCAAGTCGAAGCTCCTTACATGTTTGATGGAGATCTCGGAATGGCTCTGCATGCAATGCAGATGAATCGGGCCTCATCTCGCCTCTAGGGGGAAGTCACATGGTTTTTCTCGATTTTCAGCGGCGACCTGGGGTATTTTCTCGAGTTACGGCGGGGATGGCCCTTCAAAACACGTGTTTAATCAGTGATATCAGGACTCCTGTCTACTAACGAGGGACACCTCAGGAATCTCTTTGAGGCTTGGCAGGGCAAGAAGGGACGCTTCTCGAGGTGAGGCAGGGCACCCAAGGGCCCTTTCCAGGAGCCACAGGGATTTGGGATTCCTAACATTTTTCAAGAGGAGTCAGGCATCGTGACCTTTTGAGGCAGTGAACTCCGCCTGGATCTCGAGGTGCCAAATGGATGTGAGGTATTCTGGCAAAATGAGGCAGGGACCTAAAACTTTCTCTAAGGTCTCGAAAGGGGATTCAGACATCCCTTCATGTTGTGAGATGAAAGACGAGCCTGTATTCAAGCCACTGCAAGGAAATCCGGCCTCCTTTCAAGTTAGGGCTTCTCGCTGTATATTCCACTTGAGGCAGCAAACTCGGGGTCCCTCCCACTTACCTGTTGCTGAGGAAGCCTCCTCTTTCGGTGGTTCTGGAAAGTTGGCATAAGTGTTGAGCCTAAGCCAGGGAATCAGCTCTCATCTCGAGACGATTTGGGGTACACGGAGCATTCCTCGAGTTGCTCTGCAGAAGTTGGTGTTCTTCTAGACTTGGGACAGTGTTTTCAGGGAATCTCTGGAGTTGCCTGAAGGAAGTCAAACCACTGGTCGTGTTTAATGGGGAAAGGGGGATGGCTCTGGAATCAATGCAGGGGAATCGGGCCTCATCTCGAGTTGATTTGCTGCACATGAAGCTGCTTTGCTTTGCTGGGGTGACCTCAGGATCCATCTAGACTTGTGACAGTGTTCTTGGTGACTGTCTCGAGATCCATTAATCTAGTCGAAGGTCCTTACATGTTTGATGATGATCACGGAATTGCTCTGCATGCAATTCAGGGGAATCGGGCCTCATCTCGCATCTAGGGGGAAGTCTCCTGGTTTCTCTCGAGTTGAGGCGGGGACCTGGTGTATGTTCTCGAATTACAGCGGGGATGGCCCTTCAAAACATGTGTTGATTCAGTGACGTCAGGACTCCTGTCTAGTAACGAGGGACACCTCCGGAATCTCTTCGAGGCTTGGCATTGCAAAAGGGACGCTTCTCGAGGTGAGGCAGGGCACCGAAGGACCCGTTCCAGGAGCCACAAGGATTTTGGGATTCCTAACATTGTTCAAGAGGAGTCAGGCATCGTGACCTTTTGAAGCAGTGAACTCCGCCTGCCTCTCGAGGTGCCAAATGGATGGGAGGCATTCTGTCAAAATGAGCCAGGGACCTAGAGCATTCTCTCAGGTCTCGACAGGGGATTCAGACATCCTTTCATGTTGTGAGATGAAAGACGAGCCACTATTCAAGCCACTGCAAGGAAATCCGGCCTCCTTTCAAGTTAGGGCTTCTCGCTGTATATTCCACTTGAGGCACCAAACTCGGGAACCTCCCACATACCTATTGCTGAGGAAGCCTCCTCTTTCGGTGTTTCTGGAAAGTTGGCATAAGTGTTGAGTCTAAGCCAGGGAATCAGCTCTCATCTCTAGACGATTTGGGGTACACGGAGCATTCCTCGAGTTGCTGTACTGAAGTTGGTGTTCTTCTAGATTTGGGACAGTGTTCTCAGGGAATCTCTGGAGTTGCCTGAAGGAAGTCGAGCCAATGGTCGTGTTTAATGGGAAATGGGGAATGGCTCTGGAGTCAATGCAGATGAATCAATCCTCATCTCGAGTTGACTTGGGGCACGTGGAGCTGCTTTGCATTGCTGGGGTGACCTCAGGGTCCGTCTAGACTTGTGACAGCATTCTTGGGGACTGTCTCGAGATCCATTAAGCAAGTCGAAGCTCCTGACTTGTTTGATGGGGATCATGGAATTGATCTGCCTGCACTGCAGGTGAATCGGGCCTCATCTCGCATCTAGGGGGAAGTCTCAGGGTTTTTCTCGAGTTGCGGTGGGGACCTGGGATATCTTCTCGAGTTAAGGCAGGGATGGCCCTTCAAAACACGGGGTGATTCAGTGAAGCCAGGACTCTGGTCTAGTAACGAGGGACACCTCAGGAATCTTTTTGCGGCTTGGCAGGGTAAAAGGGACGCTTCTCGAGGTGAGGCCTGGCACCCAAGGACCCTTTCCAGTAGCCACCGGGATTTTGGGATTCCTATCAATGTTCAAGAAGAGTCAGGCATCGTCACCTTTTGAAGCAGTGAACTCCGCGTGCCTCGCGAGGTGTCAAATGGATGTTAGGCATTCCGTCAAAATGAGGCAGGGACCTAGAACTTTCTCTAAGTTCTCGACAGGGGATTCAGAAATCCCTTCATGTTGTGAGATGAAAGACGAACCTGTATTCAAGCCACTGCAAGGAAATCCAGCCTCCTTTCAAGTTAGGGCTTCTCGCTGTTTATTCCACTTGAGGTAGCAAACTCGGGGTCCCTCCCACATACCTATTGCTGAGAGAAGCCTCCTCTTGAGGTGATTCTGGAAAGTTGGCATACGTCTTGAGCCTCAGCCAGGTAATCAGGTCTCATCTCAAGACGATTTGTGGTACACGGAGCATTTCCTGAGTTGCTGGGCTGATGTTGGTGTTCTTCTAGACTTGGGACAGTGTCCTCGGCGAATCTCTGGAGTTGCCTGAAGGAAGTCAATCCTCAGCTCGTGTTTAATGGGGAACGGCATATGGCTCTGCAGTCAATGCAGGGGAATCTGGCCTCATCTCGAGTTGATTTGGTGCACATCGAGCTGCTTTGCGTTGCTGGAATGGCGTCAGGGTCCGTCTAGACTTGTGACAGTGTTCTTGAAGACTGTCTCGAGATCCATTAAGCAATTCGAAGCTGCTTACATGTTTGATGGGGATCACGGAATTGCTCTGCATGGAATACAGGGGAATCGGGCCTAATCTCGCATCTAGGTGGATATCACATGTGTTTTCACGAGTTGCGGTGGGGACCTGGGGTATGTTCTCGAGTTACGGTGGGGATGGCACTTCAAAAAACGTGTTTAATCAGTGACATCAGGACTCCTGTCTAGTAACAAGTGTCACCTCAGGAATCTCTTTGAGGCTTGGCAGGGCAAAAGGGATGCTTCTCGAGGTGATGCAGTGTACACAAGGACCCTGTACAGTAGCCACATGGATTTTGGGATTCCTAACATTGTTCAAGAGGAGTCATGCCTCGTCACCCTTTGAAGCAGTGATCTCCGAGTGCATCTCGATGTGTCAAAGGGATGTGAGGCATTCCGTCAAAATGAGGCAGGGACCTAGATATTTCTCTAACGTCTCGACAGGAGATTCAGACATCCCTTCATGTTGTGACATGAAAGACGAGCCTGTATTCACGCCACTGCAAGGAAATCCGGCCTCCTTTCAAGTTGGGGTTCTCGCTGTATATTCCATTTGAGGCAGAAAACTCGGGGTCCCTCCCACATACCTATTGTTGAGAGAAGCCTCCTCCTGAGGTGCTTCTGGAAAGTTGGCATACGTCTTGGGCCTAAGCCAGGGAATCAGCTCTCATCTCCATACGATGTGGGATACATGTAGCATTCCTCGAGTTGCTCTGCTGAAGTTGGTGTTCTTCTAGACTTCGGACAGTGTCCTTAGGGAAACTCTGGAATTGCGTGAAGGAAGTCGTGCCTCTGGTCGTGTTTAATGTGGAACGGGGGATGGCTCTGGAGTCAATGCAGGGGAATCTGGCCTCATCTCGAGTTGATTTGGGGCACATGGAGCTGCTTTGCGTTGCTGGTGTGACCTCAGGGTCCGTCTAGACTTGTGACAGTGTTCTTGGGGACTGTCTTGAGATCCATTAACCAAGTCGAAGCTCCTTACATGTTTGATGGAGATCTCGGAATGGCTCTGCATGCAATGCAGATGAATCGGGCCTCATCTCGCCTCTAGGGGGAAGTCACATGGTTTTTCTCGATTTTCAGCGGCGACCTGGGGTATTTTCTCGAGTTACGGCGGGGATGGCCCTTCAAAACACGTGTTTAATCAGTGATATCAGGACTCCTGTCTACTAACGAGGGACACCTCAGGAATCTCTTTGAGGCTTGGCAGGGCAAGAAGGGACGCTTCTCGAGGTGAGGCAGGGCACCCAAGGGCCCTTTCCAGGAGCCACAGGGATTTGGGATTCCTAACATTTTTCAAGAGGAGTCAGGCATCGTGACCTTTTGAGGCAGTGAACTCCGCCTGGATCTCGAGGTGCCAAATGGATGTGAGGTATTCTGGCAAAATGAGGCAGGGACCTAAAACTTTCTCTAAGGTCTCGAAAGGGGATTCAGACATCCCTTCATGTTGTGAGATGAAAGACGAGCCTGTATTCAAGCCACTGCAAGGAAATCCGGCCTCCTTTCAAGTTAGGGCTTCTCGCTGTATATTCCACTTGAGGCAGCAAACTCGGGGTCCCTCCCACTTACCTGTTGCTGAGGAAGCCTCCTCTTTCGGTGGTTCTGGAAAGTTGGCATAAGTGTTGAGCCTAAGCCAGGGAATCAGCTCTCATCTCGAGACGATTTGGGGTACACGGAGCATTCCTCGAGTTGCTCTGCAGATGTTGGTGTTCTTCTAGACTTGGGATAGTGTTTTCTGGGAATCTCTGGAGTTGCCTGAAGGAAGTCAAACCACTGGTCGTGTTTAATGGGGAAAGGGGGATGGCTCTGGAATCAATGCAGGGCAATCGGGCCTCATCTCGAGTTGATTTGCTGCACATGAAGCTGCTTTGCTTTGCTGGGGTGACCTCAGGATCCATCTAGACTTGTGACAGTGTTCTTGGTGACTGTCTCGAGATCCATTAATCTAGTCGAAGGTCCTTACATGTTTGATGATGATCACAGAATTGCTCTGCATGCAATTCAGGGGAATCGGGCCTCATCTCGCATCTAGGGGGAAGTCTCCTGCTTTCTCTCGAGTTGAGGCGGGGACCTGGTGTATGTTCTTGAATTACAGCGGGGATGGCCCTTCAAAACATGTGTTGATTCAGTGACGTCAGGACTCCTGTCTAGTAACGAGGGACACCTCCGGAATCTCTTCGAGGCTTGGCATTGCAAAAGGGACGCTTCTCGAGGTGAGGCAGGGCACCGAAGGACCCGTTCCAGGAGCCACAGGGATTTTGGGATTCCTAACATTGTTCAGGAGGAGTCAGGCATCGTGACCTTTTGAAGCAGTGAACTCCGCCTGCCTCTCGAGGTGCCAAATGGATGGGAGGCATTCTGTCAAAATGAGCCAGGGACCTAGAGCATTCTCTCAGGTCTCGACAGGGATTCAGACATCCTTTCATGTTGAGAGATGAAAGACGAGCCACTATTCAAGCCACTGCAAGGAAATCCGGCCTCCATTCAAGTTCGGGCTTCTCGCTGTATATTCCACTTGAGGCACCAAACTCGGGAACCCCCCCTTACCTATTGCTGAGGAAGCCTCCTCTTTCGGTGTTTCTCAAAAGTTGGCATAAGTGTTGAGGCTAAGCCAGGGAATCTGCTCTCATCTCGAGACGATTTGGGGTACACGGAGCATTCCTCGAGTTGCTGTACTGAAGTTGGTGTTCTTCTAGATTTGGGACAGTGTTCTCAGGGAATCTCTGGAGTTGCCTGAAGGAAGTCGAGCCAATGGTCGTGTTTAATGGGAAATGGGGAATGGCTCTGGAGTCAATGCAGATGAATCAATCCTCATCTCGAGTTGACTTGGGGCACGTGGAGCTGCTTTGCATTGCTGGGGTGACCTCAGGGTCCGTCTAGACTTGTGACAGCATTCTTGGGGACTGTCTCGAGATCCATTAAGCAAGTCGAAGCTCCTGACTTGTTTGATGGGGATCATGGAATTGCTCTGCATGCACTGCAGGTGAATCGGGCCTCATCTCGCATCTAGGGGGAAGTCTCAGGGTTTTTCTCGAGTTGCGGTAGGGACCTGGGATATCTTCTCGAGTTAAGGCAGGGATGGCCCTTCAAAACACGGGGTGATTCAGTGAAGCCAGGACTCTGGTCTAGTAACGAGGGACACCTCAGGAATCTTTTTGCGGCTTGGCAGGGTAAAAGGGACGCTTCTCGAGGTGAGGCCTGGCACCCAAGGACCCTTTCCAGTAGCCACCGGGATTTTGGGATTCCTATCAATGTTCAAGAAGAGTCAGGCATCGTCACCTTTTGAAGCAGTGAACTCCGCGTGCCTCGCGAGGTGTCAAATGGATGTTAGGCATTCCGTCAAAATGAGGCAGGGACCTAGAACTTTCTCTAAGTTCTCGACAGTTGATTCAGAAATCCCTTCATGTTGTGAGATGAAAGACGAACCTGTATTCAAGCCACTGCAAGGAAATCCAGCCTCCTTTCAAGTTAGGGCTTCTCGCTGTTTATTCCACTTGAGGTAGCAAACTCGGGGTCCCTCCCACATACCTATTGCTGAGAGAAGCCTCCTCTTGAGGTGATTCTGGAAAGTTGGCATACGTCTTGAGCCTCAGCCAGGTAATCAGGTCTCATCTCAAGACGATTTGTGGTACACGGAGCATTTCCTGAGTTGCTGGGCTGATGTTGGTGTTCTTCTAGACTTGGGACAGTGTCCTCGGCGAATCTCTGGAGTTGCCTGAAGGAAGTCAATCCTCAGCTCGTGTTTAATGGGGAACGGCATATGGCTCTGCAGTCAATGCAGGGGAATCTGGCCTCATCTCGAGTTGATTTGGTGCACATGGAGCTGCTTTGCGTTGCTGGAATGGCGTCAGGGTCCGTCTAGACTTGTGACAGTGTTCTTGAAGACTGTCTCGAGATCCATTAAGCAATTCGAAGCTGCTTACATGTTTGATGGGGATCACGGAATTGCTCTGCATGGAATGCAGGGGAATCGGGCCTAATCTCGCATCTAGGTGGATATCACATGTGTTTTCTCGAGTTGCGGTGGGGACCTGCGGTATGTTCTCGAGTTACGGTGGGGATGGCACTTCAAAAAACGTGTTTAATCAGTGACATCAGGACTCCTGTCTAGTAACAAGTGTCACCTCAGGAATCTCTTTGAGGCTTGGCAGGGCAAAAGGGATGCTTCTCGAGGTGATGCAGTGTACACAAGGACCCTGTACAGTAGCCACATGGATTTTGGGATTCCTAACATTGTTCAAGAGGAGTCATGCCTCGTCACCCTTTGAAGCAGTGATCTCCGAGTGCATCTCGATGTGTCAAAGGGATGTGAGGCATTCCGTCAAAATGAGGCAGGGACCTAGATCTTTCTCTAACGTCTCGACAGGAGATTCAGACATCCCTTCATGTTGTGACATGAAAGACGAGCCTGTATTCACGCCACAGCAAGGAAATCCGGCCTCCTTTCAAGTTGGGGTTCTCGCTGTATATTCCATTTGAGGCAGAAAACTCGGGGTCCCTCCCACATACCTATTGTTGAGAGAAGCCTCCTCCTGAGGTGCTTCTGGAAAGTTGGCATACGTCTTGGGCCTAAGCCAGGGAATCAGCTCTCATCTCCATACGATGTGGGGTACATGCAGCATTCCTCGAGTTGCTCTGCTGAAGTTGGTGTTCTTCTAGACTTCGGACAGTGTCCTTAGGGAAACTCTGGAATTGCGTGAAGGAAGTCGTGCCACTGGTCGTGTTTAATGTGGAACGGGGGATGGCTCTGGAGTCAATGCAGGGGAATCTGGCCTCATCTCGAGTTGATTTGGGGCACATGGAGCTGCTTTGTGTTGCTGGTGTGACCTCAGGGTCCGTCTAGACTTGTGACAGTGTTCTTGGGGACTGTCTTGAGATCCATTAACCAAGTCGAAGCTCCTTACATGTTTGATGGAGATCTCGGAATGGCTCTGCATGCAATGCAGATGAATCGGGCCTCATCTCGCCTCTAGGGGGAAGTCACGTGGTTTTTCTCGATTTTCAGCGGCGACCTGGGGTATTTTCTCGAGTTACGGCGGGGATGGCCCTTCAAAACACGTGTTTAATCAGTGATATCAGGACTCCTGTCTACTAACGAGGGACACCTCAGGAATCTCTTTGAGGCTTGGCAGGGCAAGAAGGGACGCTTCTCGAGGTGAGGCAGGGCACCCAAGGGGCCTTTCCAGGAGCCACAGGGATTTGGGATTCCTAACATTTTTCAAGAGGAGTCAGGCATCGTGACCTTTTGAGGCAGTGAACTCCGCCTGGATCTCGAGGTGCCAAATGGATGTGAGGTATTCTGGCAAAATGAGGCAGGGACCTAAAACTTTCTCTAAGGTCTCGAAAGGGGATTCAGACATCCCTTCATGTTGTGAGATGAAAGACGAGCCTGTATTCAAGCCACTGCAAGGAAATCCGGCCTCCTTTCAAGTTCGGGCTTCTCGCTGTATATTCCACTTGAGGCAGCAAACTCGGGGTCCCTCCCACTTACCTGTTGCTGAGGAAGCCTCCTCTTTCGGTGGTTCTGGAAAGTTGGCATAAGTGTTGAGCCTAAGCCAGGGAATCAGCTCTCATCTCGAGACGATTTGGGGTACACGGAGCATTCCTCGAGTTGCTCTGCAGAAGTTGGTGTTCTTCTAGACTTGGGACAGTGTTTTCAGGGAATCTCTGGAGTTGCCTGAAGGAAGTCAAACCACTGGTCGTGTTTAATGGGGAAAGGGGGATGGCTCTGGAATCAATGCAGGGGAATCGGGCCTCATCTCGAGTTGATTTGCTGCACATGAAGCTGCTTTGCTTTGCTGGGGTGACCTCAGGATCCGTCTAGACTTGTGACAGTGTTCTTGGTGACTGTCTCGAGATCCATTAATCTAGTCGAAGGTCCTTACATGTTTGATGATGATCACGGAATTGCTCTGCATGCAATTCAGGGGAATCGGGCCTCATCTCGCATCTAGGGGGAAGTCTCCTGGTTTCTCTCGAGTTGAGGCGGGGACCTGGTGTATGTTCTCGAATTACAGCGGGGATGGCCCTTCAAAACATGTGTTGATTCAGTGACGTCAGGACTCCTGTCTAGTAACGAGGGACACCTCCGGAATCTCTTCGAGGCTTGGCATTGCAAAAGGGACGCTTCTCGAGGTGAGGCAGGGCACCGAAGGACCCGTTCCAGGAGCCACAGGGATTTTGGGATTCCTAACATTGTTCAAGAGGAGTCAGGCATCGTGACCTTTTGAAGCAGTGAACTCCGCCTGCCTCTCGAGGTGCCAAATGGATGGGAGGCATTCTGTCAAAATGAGCCAGGGACCTAGAGCATTCTCTCAGGTCTCGACAGGGGATTCAGACATCCTTTCATGTTGTGAGATGAAAGACGAGCCACTATTCAAGCCACTGCAAGGAAATCCGGCCTCCTTTCAAGTTAGGGCTTCTCGCTGTATATTCCACTTGAGGCAGCAAACTCGGGGTCCCTCCCACTTACCTGTTGCTGAGGAAGCCTCCTCTTTCGGTGGTTCTGGAAAGTTGGCATAAGTGTTGAGCCTAAGCCAGGGAATCAGCTCTCATCTCGAGACGATTTGGGGTACACGGAGCATTCCTCGAGTTGCTCTGCAGAAGTTGGTGTTCTTCTAGACTTGGGACAGTGTTTTCAGGGAATCTCTGGAGTTGCCTGAAGGAAGTCAAACCACTGGTCGTGTTTAATGGGGAAAGGGGGATGGCTCTGGAATCAATGCAGGGGAATCGGGCCTCATCTCGAGTTGATTTGCTGCACATGAAGCTGCTTTGCTTTGCTGGGGTGACCTCAGGATCCGTCTAGACTTGTGACAGTGTTCTTGGTGACTGTCTCGAGATCCATTAATCTAGTCGAAGGTCCTTACATGTTTGATGATGATCACGGAATTGCTCTGCATGCAATTCAGGGGAATCGGGCCTCATCTCGCATCTAGGGGGAAGTCTCCTGGTTTCTCTCGAGTTGAGGCGGGGACCTGGTGTATGTTCTCGAATTACAGCGGGGATGGCCCTTCAAAACATGTGTTGATTCAGTGACGTCAGGACTCCTGTCTAGTAACGAGGGACACTTCCGGAATCTCTTCGAGGCTTGGCATTGCAAAAGGGACGCTTCTCGAGGTGAGGCAGGGCACCGAAGGACCCGTTCCAGGAGCCACAGGGATTTTGGGATTCCTAACATTGTTCAAGAGGAGTCAGGCATCGTGACCTTTTGAAGCAGTGAACTCCGCCTGCCTCTCGAGGTGCCAAATGGATGGGAGGCATTCTGTCAAAATGAGCCAGGGACCTAGAGCATTCTCTCAGGTCTCGACAGGTGATTCAGACATCCTTTCATGTTGTGAGATGAAAGACGAGCCACTATTCAAACCACTGCAAGGAAATCCGGCCTCCTTTCAAGTTAGGGCTTCTCGCTGTATATTCCACTTGAGGCACCAAACTCGGGAACCTCCCACATACCTATTGCTGAGGAAGCCTCCTCTTTCGGTGTTTCTCGAAAGTTGGCATAAGTGTTGAGTCTAAGCCAGGGAATCAGCTCTCATCTCGAGACGATTTGGGGTACACGGAGCATTCCTCGAGTTGCTGTACTGAAGTTGGTGTTCTTCTAGATTTGGGACAGTGTTCTCAGGGAATCTCTGGAGTTGCCTGAAGGAAGTCGAGCCAATGGTCGTGTTTAATGGGAAATGGGGAATGGCTCTGGAGTCAATGCAGATGAATCAATCCTCATCTCGAGTTGACTTGGGGCACGTGGAGCTGCTTTGCATTGCTGGGGTGACCTCAGGGTCCGTCTAGACTTGTGAAAGCATTCTTGGGGACTGTCTCGAGATCCATTAAGCAAGTCGAAGCTCCTGACTTGTTTGATGGGGATCATGGAATTGCTCTGCATGCACTGCAGGTGAATCGGGCCTCATCTCGCATCTAGGGGGAAGTCTCAGGGTTTTTCTCGAGTTGCGGTGGGGACCTGGGATATCTTCTCGAGTTAAGGCAGGGATGGCCCTTCAAAACACGGGGTGATTCAGTGAAGCCAGGACTCTGGTCTAGTAACGAGGGACACCTCAGGAATCTTTTTGCGGCTTGGCAGGGTAAAAGGGACGCTTCTCGAGGTGAGGCCTGGCACCCAAGGACCCTTTCCAGTAGCCACCGGGATTTTGGGATTCCTATCAATGTTCAAGAAGAGTCAGGCATCGTCACCTTTTGAAGCAGTGAACTCCGCGTGCCTCGCGAGGTGTCAAATGGATGTTAGGCATTCCGTCAAAATGAGGCAGGGACCTAGAACTTTCTCTAAGTTCTCGACAGGGGATTCAGAAATCCCTTCATGTTGTGAGATGAAAGACGAACCTGTATTCAAGCCACTGCAAGGAAATCCAGCCTCCTTTCAAGTTAGGGCTTCTCGCTGTTTATTCCACTTGAGGTAGCAAACTCGGGGTCCCTCCCACATACCTATTGCTGAGAGAAGCCTCCTCTTGAGGTGATTCTGGAAAGTTGGCATACGTCTTGAGCCTCAGCCAGGTAATCAGGTCTCATCTCAAGACGATTTGTGGTACACGGAGCATTTCCTGAGTTGCTGGGCTGATGTTGGTGTTCTTCTAGACTTGGGACAGTGTCCTCGGCGAATCTCTGGAGTTGCCTGAAGGAAGTCAATCCTCAGCTCGTGTTTAATGGGGAACGGCATATGGCTCTGCAGTCAATGCAGGGGAATCTGGCCTCATCTCGAGTTGATTTGGTGCACATGGAGCTGCTTTGCGTTGCTGGAATGGCGTCAGGGTCCGTCTAGACTTGTGACAGTGTTCTTGAAGACTGTCTCGAGATCCATTAAGCAATTCGAAGCTGCTTACATGTTTGATGGGGATCACGGAATTGCTCTGCATGGAATGCAGGGGAATCGGGCCTAATCTCGCATCTAGGTGGATATCACATGTGTTTTCTCGAGTTGCGGTGGGGACCTGCGGTATGTTCTCGAGTTACGGTGGGGATGGCACTTCAAAAAACGTGTTTAATCAGTGACATCAGGACTCCTGTCTAGTAACAAGTGTCACCTCAGGAATCTCTTTGAGGCTTGGCAGGGCAAAAGGGATGCTTCTCGAGGTGATGCAGTGTACACAAGGACCCTGTACAGTAGCCACATGGATTTTGGGATTCCTAACATTGTTCAAGAGGAGTCATGCCTCGTCACCCTTTGAAGCAGTGATCTCCGAGTGCATCTCGATGTGTCAAAGGGATGTGAGGCATTCCGTCAAAATGAGGCAGGGACCTAGATCTTTCTCTAACGTCTCGACAGGAGATTCAGACATCCCTTCATGTTGTGACATGAAAGACGAGCCTGTATTCACGCCACAGCAAGGAAATCCGGCCTCCTTTCAAGTTGGGGTTCTCGCTGTATATTCCATTTGAGGCAGAAAACTCGGGGTCCCTCCCACATACCTATTGTTGAGAGAAGCCTCCTCCTGAGGTGCTTCTGGAAAGTTGGCATACGTCTTGGGCCTAAGCCAGGGAATCAGCTCTCATCTCCATACGATGTGGGGTACATGCAGCATTCCTCGAGTTGCTCTGCTGAAGTTGGTGTTCTTCTAGACTTCGGACAGTGTCCTTAGGGAAACTCTGGAATTGCGTGAAGGAAGTCGTGCCACTGGTCGTGTTTAATGTGGAACGGGGGATGGCTCTGGAGTCAATGCAGGGGAATCTGGCCTCATCTCGAGTTGATTTGGGGCACATGGAGCTGCTTTGTGTTGCTGGTGTGACCTCAGGGTCCGTCTAGACTTGTGACAGTGTTCTTGGGGACTGTCTTGAGATCCATTAACCAAGTCGAAGCTCCTTACATGTTTGATGGAGATCTCGGAATGGCTCTGCATGCAATGCAGATGAATCGGGCCTCATCTCGCCTCTAGGGGGAAGTCACGTGGTTTTTCTCGATTTTCAGCGGCGACCTGGGGTATTTTCTCGAGTTACGGCGGGGATGGCCCTTCAAAACACGTGTTTAATCAGTGATATCAGGACTCCTGTCTACTAACGAGGGACACCTCAGGAATCTCTTTGAGGCTTGGCAGGGCAAGAAGGGACGCTTCTCGAGGTGAGGCAGGGCACCCAAGGGCCCTTTCCAGGAGCCACAGGGATTTGGGATTCCTAACATTTTTCAAGAGGAGTCAGGCATCGTGACCTTTTGAGGCAGTGAACTCCGCCTGGATCTCGAGGTGCCAAATGGATGTGAGGTATTCTGGCAAAATGAGGCAGGGACCTAAAACTTTCTCTAAGGTCTCGAAAGGGGATTCAGACATCCCTTCATGTTGTGAGATGAAAGACGAGCCTGTATTCAAGCCACTGCAAGGAAATCCGGCCTCCTTTCAAGTTCGGGCTTCTCGCTGTATATTCCACTTGAGGCAGCAAACTCGGGGTCCCTCCCACTTACCTGTTGCTGAGGAAGCCTCCTCTTTCGGTGGTTCTGGAAAGTTGGCATAAGTGTTGAGCCTAAGCCAGGGAATCAGCTCTCATCTCGAGACGATTTGGGGTACACGGAGCATTCCTCGAGTTGCTCTGCAGAAGTTGGTGTTCTTCTAGACTTGGGACAGTGTTTTCAGGGAATCTCTGGAGTTGCCTGAAGGAAGTCAAACCACTGGTCGTGTTTAATGGGGAAAGGGGGATGGCTCTGGAATCAATGCAGGGGAATCGGGCCTCATCTCGAGTTGATTTGCTGCACATGAAGCTGCTTTGCTTTGCTGGGGTGACCTCAGGATCCGTCTAGACTTGTGACAGTGTTCTTGGTGACTGTCTCGAGATCCATTAATCTAGTCGAAGGTCCTTACATGTTTGATGATGATCACGGAATTGCTCTGCATGCAATTCAGGGGAATCGGGCCTCATCTCGCATCTAGGGGGAAGTCTCCTGGTTTCTCTCGAGTTGAGGCGGGGACCTGGTGTATGTTCTCGAATTACAGCGGGGATGGCCCTTCAAAACATGTGTTGATTCAGTGACGTCAGGACTCCTGTCTAGTAACGAGGGACACCTCCGGAATCTCTTCGAGGCTTGGCATTGCAAAAGGGACGCTTCTCGAGGTGAGGCAGGGCACCGAAGGACCCGTTCCAGGAGCCACAGGGATTTTGGGATTCCTAACATTGTTCAAGAGGAGTCAGGCATCGTGACCTTTTGAAGCAGTGAACTCCGCCTGCCTCTCGAGGTGCCAAATGGATGGGAGGCATTCTGTCAAAATGAGTCAGGGACCTAGAGCATTCTCTCAGGTCTCGACAGGGGATTCAGACATCCTTTCATGTTGTGAGATGAAAGACGAGCCACTATTCAAGCCACTGCAAGGAAATCCGGCCTCCTTTCAAGTTAGGGCTTCTCGCTGTATATTCCACTTGAGGCACCAAACTCGGGAACCTCCCACATACCTATTGCTGAGGAAGCCTCCTCTTTCGGTGTTTCTCGAAAGTTGGCATAAGTGTTGAGTCTAAGCCAGGGAATCAGCTCTCATCTCGAGACGATTTGGGGTACACGGAGCATTCCTCGAGTTGCTGTACTGAAGTTGGTGTTCTTCTAGATTTGGGACAGTGTTCTCAGGGAATCTCTGGAGTTGCCTGAAGGAAGTCGAGCCAATGGTCGTGTTTAATGGGAAATGGGGAATGGCTCTGGAGTCAATGCAGATGAATCAATCCTCATCTCGAGTTGACTTGGGGCACGTGGAGCTGCTTTGCATTGCTGGGGTGACCTCAGGGTCCGTCTAGACTTGTGACAGCATTCTTGGGGACTGTCTCGAGATCCATTAAGCAAGTCGAAGCTCCTGACTTGTTTGATGGGGATCATGGAATTGCTCTGCATGCACTGCAGGTGAATCGGGCCTCATCTCGCATCTAGGGGGAAGTCTCAGGGTTTTTCTCGAGTTGCGGTGGGGACCTGGGATATCTTCTCGAGTTAAGGCAGGGATGGCCCTTCAAAACACGGGGTGATTCAGTGAAGCCAGGACTCTGGTCTAGTAACGAGGGACACCTCAGGAATCTTTTTGCGGCTTGGCAGGGTAAAAGGGACGCTTCTCGAGGTGAGGCCTGGCACCCAAGGACCCTTTCCAGTAGCCACCGGGATTTTGGGATTCCTATCAATGTTCAAGAAGAGTCAGGCATCGTCACCTTTTGAAGCAGTGAACTCCGCGTGCCTCGCGAGGTGTCAAATGGATGTTAGGCATTCCGTCAAAATGAGGCAGGGACCTAGAACTTTCTCTAAGTTCTCGACAGGGGATTCAGAAATCCCTTCATGTTGTGAGATGAAAGACGAACCTGTATTCAAGCCACTGCAAGGAAATCCAGCCTCCTTTCAAGTTAGGGCTTCTCGCTGTTTATTCCACTTGAGGTAGCAAACTCGGGGTCCCTCCCACATACCTATTGCTGAGAGAAGCCTCCTCTTGAGGTGATTCTGGAAAGTTGGCATACGTCTTGAGCCTCAGCCAGGTAATCAGGTCTCATCTCAAGACGATTTGTGGTACACGGAGCATTTCCTGAGTTGCTGGGCTGATGTTGGTGTTCTTCTAGACTTGGGACAGTGTCCTCGGCGAATCTCTGGAGTTGCCTGAAGGAAGTCAATCCTCAGCTCGTGTTTAATGGGGAACGGCATATGGCTCTGCAGTCAATGCAGGGGAATCTGGCCTCATCTCGAGTTGATTTGGTGCACATCGAGCTGCTTTGCGTTGCTGGAATGGCGTCAGGGTCCGTCTAGACTTGTGACAGTGTTCTTGAAGACTGTCTCGAGATCCATTAAGCAATTCGAAGCTGCTTACATGTTTGATGGGGATCACGGAATTGCTCTGCATGGAATACAGGGGAATCGGGCCTAATCTCGCATCTAGGTGGTTATCACATGTGTTTTCACGAGTTGCGGTGGGGACCTGGGGTATGTTCTCGAGTTACGGTGGGGATGGCACTTCAAAAAACGTGTTTAATCAGTGACATCAGGACTCCTGTCTAGTAACAAGTGTCACCTCAGGAATCTCTTTGAGGCTTGGCAGGGCAAAAGGGATGCTTCTCGAGGTGATGCAGTGTACACAAGGACCCTGTACAGTAGCCACATGGATTTTGGGATTCCTAACATTGTTCAAGAGGAGTCATGCCTCGTCACCCTTTGAAGCAGTGATCTCCGAGTGCATCTCGATGTGTCAAAGGGATGTGAGGCATTCCGTCAAAATGAGGCAGGGACCTACATCTTTCTCTAACGTCTCGACAGGAGATTCAGACATCCCTTCATGTTGTGACATGAAAGACGAGCCTGTATTCACGCCACTGCAAGGAAATCTGGCCTCCTTTCAAGTTGGGGTTCTCGCTGTATATTCCATTTGAGGCAGAAAACTCGGGGTCCCTCCCACATACCTATTGTTGAGAGAAGCCTCCTCCTGAGGTGCTTCTGGAAAGTTGGCATACGTCTTGGGCCTAAGCCAGGGAATCAGCTCTCATCTCCATACGATGTGGGATACATGTAGCATTCCTCGAGTTGCTCTGCTGAAGTTGGTGTTCTTCTAGAGTTCGGACAGTGTCCTTAGGGAAACTCTGGAATTGCGTGAAGGAAGTCGTGCCTCTGGTCGTGTTTAATGTGGAAGGGGGGATGGCTCTGGAGTCAATGCAGGGGAATCTGGCCTCATCTCGAGTTGATTTGGGGCACATGGAGCTGCTTTGCGTTGCTGGTGTGACCTCAGGGTCCGTCTAGACTTGTGACAGTGTTCTAGGGGACTGTCTTGAGATCCATTAACCAAGTCGAAGCTCCTTACATGTTTGATGGAGATCTCGGAATGGCTCTGCATGCAATGCAGATGAATCGGGCCTCATCTCGCCTCTAGGGGGAAGTCACATGGTTTTTCTCGATTTTCAGCGGCGACCTGGGGTATTTTCTCGAGTTACGGCGCGGATGGCCCTTCAAAACACGTGTTTAATCAGTGATATCAGGACTCCTGTCTACTAACGAGGGACACCTCAGGAATCTCTTTGAGGCTTGGCAGGGCAAGAAGGGACGCTTCTCGAGGTGAGGCAGGGCACCCAAGGGCCCTTTCCAGGAGCCACAGGGATTTGGGATTCCTAACATTTTTCAAGAGGAGTCAGGCATCGTGACCTTTTGAGGCAGTGAACTCCGCCTGGATCTCGAGGTGCCAAATGGATGTGAGGTATTCTGGCAAAATGAGGCAGGGACCTAAAACTTTCTCGAAGGTCTCGAAAGGGGATTCAGACATCCCTTCATGTTGTGAGATGAAAGACGAGCCTGTATTCAAGCCACTGCAAGGAAATCCGGCCTCCTTTCAAGTTAGGGCTTCTCGCTGTATATTCCACTTGAGGCAGCAAACTCGGGGTCCCTCCCACTTACCTGTTGCTGAGGAAGCCTCCTCTTTCGGTGGTTCTGGAAAGTTGGCATAAGTGTTGAGCCTAAGCCAGGGAATCAGCTCTCATCTCGAGACGATTTGGGGTACACGGAGCATTCCTCGAGTTGCTCTGCAGAAGTTGGTGTTCTTCTAGACTTG